GTGCTTACGCTAATTATTGCCCCATAGTGAACTCCGTAATCATTGAGCTGGTTGTGAACTCCTGCAGGGCTATAAAGCTGAGCTCATGATCTGCACTGTGAAGAATGATAAAGATTTTAGATAGAATGAATTTGTTTACAGGGATGTAGTTGCTTGTGATGTCCTAATGCAAGTTAAAATGTACTCCACCAAGAAATTCAGTCTGGTTGTGTCAGCAGTACTTTCAAAGATAAGAACTGGACAGGGATTGATTCATTGCTTTGCATGCCTATCTGCATCTGCACATCTACATGACCCATAGCAGACCAGAGCTACTGTAAAAGCAGGTGTACAGGCAATAGGGATAATCAATGATTAAGATGCATAACCTAACAGTAGATAGAGCTACTTACAGAAAAATTCTATGTTGCTTCTCCAAAGGACAAGCCCAAGTTTTCTCATGATTTATTGTGCATCTTCACAAAGAGAAATGTGATAAATCACTTCCTTGGCTTTAATAGGAATCCATTTTTGAGACCCAATTTACCCCGACTTTATCCAGCTTTTTGTCCATAGACAACTAAAATGAATCCTACCTTTCTCCATTACTCAGCAGATTAGACTTTAGTTTTCCTGCGGAGTTACTGAAAATGTTATTTTGCCATACTCTGTTTTATACCATAAAATAATTGTCAAAGAACTCTGAGATAAGAAAATATTGAGCTACTCTTTTGCAGAAAAAAAACACCCCTACCATAAACAGAAAACTCTGTGATGGATTTAAGAATTTTAATTTCAGAAAAGCACATAAAACGTTTTAAAATACATTTCTCCTTGAAAGGAAATGAAACTGGTAAAAGTGGCAGTCAAAAATAGATTTAAATTGTATCAATTTTAAATAGGTAAGAACTGATTTTTTTTTTCAACAGGAGCAAAACAAATAAAGATACAGAACATCAAAATACAGTCACAATATGAAATAGAAGCAATAAAACTATTCTAATAAAAAGGTGACACATACTTCATATGTTTGTGTTATGAACAGATTATCCTCAGTAGCTGTAATGAGGTCTTAAAACCATTTACACCTTCATGTATTTTCAGCAGTCCCAGTCAACACTGCAAAAGTGTCTCCAATTTGGGACAAAAGCAGAGGTGAAAGAACTTTCTGCATAATTCAAGTTGTTTTTTCTGTTTGTTTGTTTTTGTTTTTAATAATACTGTTAAACTGAGCGAAGACAAAAAATAAAAATAATTCACATGCATTAATAAAAATTAAATTCACACTCTATTAATGGAAATTAAATTTTTGCATTCATTTACAGAAAATGTAGTAGAATTCTTGAGAAAGCAAAGTGGAACAATCAACCTATCATACACATACTGAGTGGTGATATTATATATAAACATTACTAATACATATTGTAATATGGGAATATAAGTATACATGAAAGAAAAGCACAGAAATCAATAAAAGATGAAATAATATGCATGTGATAGAAAAGTAATAGAAGAATCAGAAAATCATAAAATAAGGCTACATTAGTCTTAAATAACCAACAATATTTAGTAACTTTGTGTGTATTTCTGTACTTAAATGTCTGGATTTCCAAAATCGCTTGAACATTTCACACTTTAAGAGACCGAATCCCTGTAAGCCATCACAGTAGTTTGAAGATTATAACACAATGACAACAAATACACTTTCAGAATCATTTTTAACAGAAGTGGGGAAAAAAAAAAAAAAAAAAAAAAAAGGCAGTTGTTTCCTTAAAATACAGAGAATCATGCACAACAACGTACCTAAAGAAAACAAAGGCATTGACCTCCAGATCCAGTTCAGGCCTGTGAGCTAGGAGAATCTCTGTAACATGTTCTGGGTAGGCAGTAATAAGATGAAAAGTGGATATGGTGGCTATCACATGGACTTTGCTGTCCATGAGTCCTCATATTTTAGGTATCTGAACTACAGATGCAGTTCACAAGAGAGAAAAGAATTTGCAATCACAGTTTCGAGTAAAGAGGTTGTATGTGTGTGTGGGGGGGGAGAGGGGAGATGTGGGAGGAGGTGGGGGTGGGGGGTGAAGATGTAACTGTGATGACTCTATCAGCTTGCAGATACAATCAAAGTAAGTAAAATTAAGTAGAGCTCCGGCTTTAAAATTTCATGAACATAAGGGCATAAGAAAGATTTGAGTTTTGATTCTTAAAATCACATTTCTGGTCTTCGTCATTTTGAATGAAAGCTAGCAACTGTGGCTAAGTGTAAAAGGTCCATGTATGTAGAGAGCATTACAGCAAAACGTCTGAATGCATGAACTGCCCAATTAGGTCAGTGTGTTCTTCAGCCAAAAAAATATTCATCTGTGCAATTCTGCTTACTTCCTCCTTGTCTGCCATGTTGCAGTGCCAGCAGCAGTCTGAAGTGAGTTCATCCTGGTAATAAAACTGTTGCTTTTATATTGGGATGCAGCTGTTTGCTGGCAAATTTGGACAAAAAAACTCTATGCCAAATATGAAGTTACAGGCTAAGGCAGGGACAAGGCAACAGCACCCTGGCAGCATGTAGACAAAATTACCACTATAGAACCTTCTCTGCCTTTCTCCTTGCCATCACTGCAAGTACACAAACTGCCTCTTGGCTTTGTGTAGGCTGAAAATAAAGTATGGAAGACAAACTGTGCAAAAAAACTTGCAAAGGTTTTTGGATTCCTTTCCTTCAACTCTGAAAGACTGTTAGTGCAATTTCAGTAAAAACCTAAGATTTTGGCCCGTAACAAGTCAGGAAGAATGTCTGAGGAATGTGAAAATCTTTGATCAACACATGGATTAGAAAATTTTATCCTTAAAAATCAACTTTTTTTTTCCTTTTTTTTTTTTTTTTCTTTTTCCAAGAACCTATGGCAAAAATAAAACCAAAAACAAACAAACAAAAAAATCGAATGCAGAAAAACACTGTTAGGCTGAATGGCTTCTATATGGCAAGAACTAATCCTGATACCATCTTTCTGCTGACACTGAAGACTGGTTAAATGAATATTGTGAATGCATACCAAGCAACACAATTGAAAGAAAAAAAATGTCCCAAGAAGCATGTAAGAATTCAAAATTCTGTTTGAGAAAAAATAATGTCAAACTAGAACTGAAATTTTCCTAGTCAGGGCCCTCCTTTCTCACGTGCCCCTCTTGGTTCCTGTTTGGATTAGATTGGTGAAGTCCCAATGGTTTATCTAGGAAAGGAGGAACATACTGTGTTGAAAAGTCTTTTGCTTGCTATTTATTGCAATTTTTTCCCTTTGGACAATGCTGCCAACCAGAAAGCTGCTCATATTTTTCATACTGGCGGTTTTACACACTAGGAGCTGTGCTTCATAAAGATTCCCAAACGATACACTTGGAGCTATTCTTAGTTTTGTTTTGTTTTCCTTGTACTATTGAAGACAATTATAATAGTAAAACATATAGTTTTAACAAAAGCATAAATAAATCTAGTTATTCATGTCTGAATAAGCTTGTGTTTGTAATTAATAAGAAAAACTTTCCTTTTACAGCTCTTACTGGAGACATCACCAACTGAAATTGTTGTAGTCTGTCAGCATCTGCGGTCAATCAGACACATAAAGAACTATAGAACTCTCGGATGAGACTCAAGAAAATTCTTTGACACTCCTTAAACATCTGAGACACAAAAATATAAATGCAATCAGGACACATCCTAACCTCAGATAACTCAGGCAATTAAGCAACTCTCAGACCTCAGCCCACAAACCTCCTTGGTTTCAGCAGAACAATTCAGGCAGAATGTGTACGGATACTCTCACAGCCTCATGAGTTTCAGTGATTACTTTCTAAACTCCATATGAGGTAAGCGGGTGAGTAAAAAGTCACACAAATAACATCACCGACTCTTATAGATAAGTAAGTTATGCATATCTTCACAAAATCAAAGTCTATATTTGCATCAGTTAAAAACCACAAGCAGGAAATGAAGGATGAAATCGCTTTAGAGAGTAATACTTCACCAGCTAGACACCAGTCAGCAAATATTACCTTCCACAACTTCTAAGATCCATATTGTCCACACATTTGAATTCTTCACCCCCTCACTTGTCGCTTCTGCCAGTCTCACGCATCCTAAACTAGGAACTGCTTTGTTGTTCTTTATTTGGCATTTTATTTTTAAAGAAGGACCAGCAGAGCAAGCAAGCAGCCTGCTTGGCTGGAGTTCCTAAGGCACAGCTGATGTGGCTGGAGTTTAGCGGCACTCTTCTCCAGGCAATCTGTGAAGCAGCGTCACACACAACAATGCTTTTTCCTGCACATCGAGACAAAATGGGACAGGAGGGGAGCAGCCAAGCTTCCCGCACCCACGGGCCTGGCAGGGAGCTCCTTATCAGGGGCAGCAGTTGGGGCTGGGCAGAAAAGAATCCCTCAGAGGATGAAGTACAGCAACACTCAACACTGACAGAAAGGAGCTCGCTACGAACTTTATTTACGAACTTGCAACGCCAGGCAGAGCCTTCAGAGAGACGGGGAGGAAAGGGCCGGGGGCTCACAAGGCCCCAGCGCGGCTCCCTCGGAGCCCTGCGGCCACAGAGGGGGCGGATCGGAGTCAGGGGAAGCAGAATAGAGCGGAGCCCGGGCTTCAGAGGACAGGCGGTGGAGCGGGCGGCCGGGAAGGTGCAGGCAGGGCTCGGAGGAGGGCGGGCGGCCCGGGCCGTACGCGGCAGCACCAGCGGAGCCGTGCCTGCAGCAGGCGGCGGCCATCGCGGGCTCGCCACCCCCGTGCGCCCCTCGGAGGACGGAGGGGTGGGGGCAGAGGAGGCGGAGGAAGCGGCGGCGGCGCCAGGAACAGGGAGGCGGTGGCGGCGGCACGGCGAGGGAGGGAGGGAGGGAGCGAGCCGAAGCCGGGCCGGGCCCCGCAAGAGCAACAGCGACGCCAGCTCCTCCTCCTCCTCCGCCTCGGTGAGTCCGCTCCGCCGCCCGGAGAGGCTGCTCGCCGCCCAGCACGGATGCCGGCTCAGGCCGGGCCGCGCCGCCGAGGTGCCCGGAGAGAGGCCCGCGCCGCGAGCGGGACACCGCGGCCTCCGCTGGGTGAGCGTCCCCGGGGCAATGGCCTTCCCCCACTCTTTTCCCTTCTTCTTTCCTTCGGTGGCAGCCGATGGAGAGCCAGGATGGGGACGGTGCGGTTCTTAGCTTGCCCGCATCCCTCATCCCGAGCCCCGGCCTCCTCTGCCTTTGTTTGCGCGGCGCCCCGAGCTCGCGGCGGCGCCAGGCCCTGCGGAGGCAGCGGGGCTGCGGCGCGGCCTGCATGGCGGGCAGGGAGCAGCCGGGCCGGGCCGCGGGGATTCTGCACAGCCCCCGCCTGGCAGGAGGGGCCGCCGCCGACCTCTTCGCGGCCCTGCGCCCACCTCCCCTGGGCCGCTGCCCCAGTGCTCGCGCAGCTGCCTTGTGCCGTGACCGGGGGGCGGCCGAATTAGGCTGCTTCCTTTCCCCATCCATCCGCCTTCATTTTTAGGTTTGCAAGGGTCTGCTGCTGGGCAGGTCGCCAGGGGTGTCATTTTGTACTATTGCTGTCGGGGCTTTGCACTGTGAAGGAGCTTCGCGAAAGGTGAAGCTGTAAATGTCATGTTATTGTTAACTGAGGGTATGCCAAGGGCTGTGTAAGGGGTAAGGGAAGCACTGCTAGCTGAAACAGGCAGCACTTAAAGGCTTAAAAAGCTTAAGATTTTCTCTCTCTCTCTCTCTCTATATATATATTTTAAATTCAAACAACAAGTAAACAAATAGAAACTTTACTAGCTTTTATTGTTCTTCAAACTGCCTCTTCCATTCTCTTTCCCTAATGGTGTAGCTTTGGTCAGAAACAACTGGTTCTGGTCCTTGCCAATCTGTTGTCTAAGAAAGACCTTTCCAAAACCCTGAACTTTCGAGATGCAGAGAATGCTGCTGTGATGTGAGATGCTTTGAATGTCTTTCTTTTTCCTTCGTTCTTTCATCATTTCTCCCCATATTTTTAGAACCGTGATAATTTGCAGGATAGTATTTTTCTGCAGAGAAGGTTACTCTGTTAAGATGGCACTAGCAGTAGAATATTCTTTGGAATGGGAAAGCGTCTCTTCCAGTTACTATATTCTTCTGCCCTTTCATGATGAGGTCTCAACCCCTCTTTCCTGCCTGCCAGTAATGCTTACATCACGTCCAACCTCTTAGCACACCTGTAGTTAAAAATGCCTGCTGCAGGCCTCCTGTCTTAGGGAGCTGATTTCTATAGAAGTACTTGAAGAATAATCCTGCTGCATTTCTGCCATGGCTGGATGCTATTTTTGTTTCACATCAATTAGCCCATCTTTGGATTGTAGAAAATATGTAAGCTTTGGCATAGTTATGAGATAAATTACTCTAGCTTGGCTGGAAAATGTAAACCACCGGAGAATATCTAGGTATTTTTGGAGTCTTTCACAGCAAGAGAGTAATTGTAGCTCATGCTTTTCTGCCTAACTTACTAAGGCAGATTTCAGCTTTTTCAAAGTGCTTACTTTAGTGAAGAAAACCTTTAACGAAGTTTTCACTTCTATTGTATACTTCTTATTATGCAGCATCACACTAAGTTTAGAACTGAACTTTCACTTAGAGCAGGCTCACCTGTTGTGTACACTTGAATCAAGCACCTATTCCCTGACTTTTGAGATTTAAATAGATATTGTTGGTTTTTTTTCCCCCAGCAGTTAAGATTCAATGAAATTAAACCTTAAAAGTGTGAGTAGTTGTAGTATTATGTGGATATGTGCATTTGCTAACGTCCCCAGAAGCTTCCTGCTATAGATCAGTAGAGAAGAAGCACTGTATTGTTTCCCAAGCTTTCGCGAGGGTCTTTATGGTGCTAGATACGTTCAACTAAGGGTTCTTGTAGCGTAAGTTACAATGTAGGATAATCTTAAAAATTGACTCAGTAAAATATGAAAAAGATACTGGTGTTACTGATGTTTACCATGTTGTTAATTTGTTTCTTCCTAGGTTGTGAAGTGGGTCAGTCAGATACTATGAGTTAGGCCTAGAAAAGGAAGCTTGGGCAAAATCACAACTTGGTCCCCATTGCTGTGCAGGTAGATCACATTACTCTGCTTAATGCAGTGAAGAGGTGGAGAGAGAGTGGACTTTTAATCAGGAGTTTTTGAGAAGCATGTTAATTTCTTTATGTTTTTATGAAAACTTCTGTATTTGTAGGGTAACTTGAGGATTGGTGTCTGAAAGACTTGTTCTAGTAGTATTGCCTTGAATTGACTACATATTTGCTGCATCATTGCTGGCAAAACTGAGGCCATAGTTCAGGGAAATTCATTATGTGCCATGTTTGCTGTTACTTTACTTCCTCCCTGGGCCTATGTAGTGCTGTTTTGGTAGTACAACATGCCATAGGGAGGCGAATGATAGAGAAGTAAATGGAAAGGAGACTGATCTTTGCTGGTGTGTCTCGGCTTGTTGGTAAGGCTTTAATGTGTGCTAGCAACAAAACAGAGAGGATGGCTCCGTTAGCAACAAAACAGAGAGGCTTGTGATGCTGCATGGAGGAAAATATACTACAAATATTATAAAAGTAAATACACTTTAACTTGTGAGTGCAAGTACTGAAGTTTATTGAGTGGAAATTAGGTAGGGTGGGGACTGAAAAACAGAGTAGAGTTCTTATGCAAATTGACTGTATATTTCAGTGGAGTGTTAAGAGAAATACAGAACTTTGCTTCCTCTTTTTTTTTTTTTTTTTTTAAAGAGGAACAGCAATATCTAGTAATTTTTCTCATCCTTATGCTTGTGCCAAAATCTAATTTCATTCCATTTTTTTTTTTTGTTTTTAATATATGCTTATTTTCTGGAAATACATATAAGTCTTCAGAAGACCGTAAATGTACTTGATACAAAGTTCCTAAATGTACTTGATACAAAGTTCCTAAGTTTTTGTGAGCCTTCCTTGTGAGGGGCTCGTGTGGATCCCAATGTATTTGCATTTAATAGAAAAGTGAAGTATCCTTCAAAAGGAAAAAAATCCTGAAAATTTTCATTGACAATATCAGATGACAGGCTCTGTGCAGTACTATGTTATTTAAAAATAAGAGGATCGTGCTTCTAATAGAATATTCACTATCCATGTTTAAAAAGCAGCTTCATTCCACTCAGATAGATATGCTTCTAATATGACAGACCCTGAAGATAAATGGTGATCAGTAGATCCCATTCTGCTATTGTTATTCCTGTTTTTCTCTGAAAATAATTGCATTCCAAATCAAGATGTGTATGTATACGTTAAATGAATTTCTGTGATTTTCTGTGATAAGAATAATAAAACAAAGATGGCTCACCTAATTCAGCCTCTTCTAGTAGTTAAAACCAGACCCACAAGTAACTGGCTGTGAATTATTGTCCTGGATGCAGATATGAAGCTGGCTGTATGTGAAATGTTGTCTAATATATTAAATATATAAAGTTGTGCAAGCCTTGCTAGAGTCTGCATAGACTGATGTTAAAAAGACATCATAATACAGATTCTGACTTAGGCTGCTTACTGTCAGAATTAAAACTTTCACATCAGTGTTAAAAATTGAGCTCTTAGATTTACTTAAGTTACTGCAGATTATTTTTTTTTTTCTTTTTGTAACAGTTTTCATGGTTTTCTGACTTTTCTGTCATGTATGAGCATGCAAGGAATAAGCATCTGCAGCTCCAGATAGCTTCAGCAAGTTTTGAGGTGTATGGCTTCACAAATCTGATTACTATTCACTAAAGACTGTAATATGGATTCAAGAACAGATAATTGCTGTCTTTTTGTTTTTAAATAAAGTGTTATTTGCCATAATTATTTTCTTGTTTTTGTTGTTCTGGAAAATACTGAGATAAAATAGTGTCTCTTTTCTGTTTCTTTAATCATTCATATAACACTTCGAACTCTTTGGAGCTCAGTTGGTTTCATTTATGACAAGGATGTAAGCCATATTATTACCTAAGAAGTTGTTCCTTGGATGCTATGTTGCCAAGAAAACTGTTCAAGTTAAATATAAATCTTCGTTTGGTTATTGAGGATGCAAGTAAATTAGCTGTCATCTTCTGCCTCTGACATTAAAACTCTGTTGAAGGTATATGGAAAATGTTTGTCTTGCACAAAACCTCAACCTAAAGATGTCCTGTGTAGGTATTTCTGTCCAGTTGCTGCTTTCCAAACATTGCTTCCTATTATGTATATATCAGGCACACAGAGCAGATGAGGTTTCTTGTATTCTGATTAAAAATTCTTTTTCATCAGTAAGTGCAAGTAAGTTGGCAGCTTTAGAAAATCTTAGATTTGTAAGGTATGTGTGCTTTTTGTTATAAAAACCAAATAATTCTGCTGTAAACTGCTGTAAAACAGTTTTGGATGAGAGCCATTTTTTCTGCCATTGAAGGTATAAATAGATGTTAGTTTTGTTTTTTTTTTCTTGCATAGCTTGTTAAGTGGTCTCTAGTTTTAGAAAAAAAAAATTAAACAATGAAAATGAACCTATGAGTATTGTTAGGTAAACTGTACAGACATGTGGTTATTTTTCTTTGCTTCCCAAAGCAGTATATAATCAGCAGCTGTATTTGTATTATTTAACTTGCATGGTTAGATACCAATCTGTAAGAAGACTTGTGTAAGGTTTTGATGGTCTGAAGTTAATGTGATACATGTAGCTAGCACATAAATGGATAAATTTTAGCATTTGAAACCGTAGAGGTGAAGCTTTAGTTATTGCTCCTCAGGGATATTCTGCATTACTTAAAACAACACATAGACTGTTACTCTCGATGACAAAATCGTTGAAAATGAGATTCTAGTCAGGCTTCCTTTTACAGTGCGTGATCTTTGTTTTTCTTGAGTAGTTTTATTCTTAATTAATCTTGACGTTCTGTGGTAAATCTGCTAAAACAGCAGTTTGTAGGAGTCTTGAGTAGGTGATTTTTTTTTTTTTTTCCCTTCTCTAAAGCAGTCTGTATTCCTCAAAAAGGTCAAGAATAAATTAGTAGGCTATTCCAAATGTTTCTGAAGAATATTTGATCCCAAGATGTCTCTGAAACAGTGGTGAAGCTTGCTTTCCTTTTTGTCCTTCTGGTTCTGAGAATCCCCAGACTTGGCCTTGGGAAGTGCTACAAGACTGGGCAGTTACAAGCTATGGTATTAACTGTGTTTCTGACATTGGTAATGAGTTTTAATACTCTCAGAATCCCTTACCTATTCTTTTGGCTGGTGATTGGGTATCAGATTAGGAGTTTAATAACTGAAATACAGAAATACAGACCAGTGGCATCATGTAAAGAGGTTTTGATTCCAGAAATTGTGCCTTATAGTGTGAGATTTGTAGAAGCTGCATTCCAAAAACAGGATAGGCAGCTTTTCAGGATGACACTCTTCTTTCAGATGCTGGTGAGAACTCTGTGACTGAAGAATTCTCACTGGATTCACTGAACAGAAGCTGTTTGTGCAAGCATATTGGTTTTGATGAAACTTGCACTGGGAAAGGCTTGCAGGCTGGAATTTTGGTCAGCCCAAGGAGACTGATTCCAGAATAGTCGGTTTGTGCATTCAGAGGTAAAGTCTCTGGGCTGAATTGAAGATCTCTCCTGGATCACTGTAAGGTGGGTGTCTAGTGGCTTTTTCCCCCTCCTATTCACTGTTCTCTTTTCAGTGGAAAACAGAGGATTAAAAAAAAAAAAAAGAAAAAAAAAACACCAAAGAAACCAGTTCTGATCCAATGCGTTCTGAAACTTTGACTTTTCTCCTTTTCTTGGCTTTAGAAAAGAGAGTATTTGGTTAGTAATAAATAATGTTGAGAAATAATTAGGGATTAGTCATAGGTCTTTGGCATGGTTTTGGGCAAAAATCTAGTAACTTGGGAAAATAAATGAAAATGTAAATATTTTTCAGTCCCTTGCTGAAAGGTTAAGACTCTATACTGACCAATCGTATTTGTTGTAGTGCTATTTGAAATGTAGTTCAGTGATGTTCAAGAGAACAAAATGAAGGGGAGTTGTGTCATTAGGGAATCAGAAGCCTTGCATACCACAAAATCAGATGCTTCTTGGAATTTGCGTTATTTTAAATGGTTTATCATGGAAAACAGTGTGTGAACATTGAAATGTACGTATCTATTTTCATTTTTTAATTGGGTTAACACATTTATTTTATTTATAGTGTACATAAGTTTAAATCTATGCCAGAGAGAACAGGAGGAAAAGGCAGATTCTGTGTGCATATATGTCTCCCTTTTTTTTTTTTTTTTTTTTTTTTTTCTCCATGCTTGAAATTTCAAGCTCAGCTAGCTTTTGCAGCAGAGCTCCTCTACTCCTGGCTCTGCAGAAATTTGACCTGACTCTGGAGACAGCTATCTTAAGGACTTTGTGTTTGTATAAATTTCATGCAGCATGTTATTTCATATAGACAATGAAAACTTTATCTTTGGTCCTGCATATAAGAATTTATACACCAATTTGAAGTTCCTCAGTTTAAGACTCCAGTTCTTCAAGTGCAAGCTAAACATATTGTGAGCAGTGCCATTGAGTTAAATGTCTGCTCATAAATTGATCTTTACTAGGCTGACACTCAATATTAAAAAAAAAAAAAAAAATCAGCTTATTTAGAATTGTGTGGAATATTTCTTAACAACAACAGTAATAAACCCCAGGCAGTAATGACAAACAAACAAAAAAATCAATGCAACAACAACCAACCTGAAAGCTTTCCAGTTTGCATCAGGACAAAACAGTGTCTCTCTAAAAACTTTAATGAAGATATTCTTTCTCCATCAGATGTGCTGTGAGAAGCAGGATGATTCTAACTGCTGATTATTGCAGTGTAGGTTTGGATGGGACATGAAAAAAGAAAAAAAGATCGTAACTATGAATAATTAAGAGGGTGTAGTTTTGACCCAAAATCACAGAATTTGCATGTAGACTAAACTCTGTCAGATCTGGTGCGGTCTTGTAAAAAGCCTAAACTCTGGCAAATTGGGTCTTCATTAAAAAAAATTGCTAAGAAGTTTTGCCCATGCAGTAAAAATCGTATTCCTATTTTAGTCAATGCACTAGTTGTGCAGTGTTTTTTTTCCACTCTAGGCTGAAAAGGACTGTCAATTTAGAAAAGCTATGTAATGTTTTACTTTCTTTTTTAAGGGAAACAAAATAATAAAATTTTTGACATTAGATGGAGATAATACTCTCTACAGGTGTGTTTACCTTGTGTATTTGACAGTACTTTGAAGACAGCCATTTCTACTGTTACTCTTATATGGCCAAGCTATAAATCATGAAAAAGGTAATTACTGTTTGTTCTTATTGGGCCTTCTGCCACTGAAAATGGGAGGGAAAATATTTTAAATAAGCTGTGTTTTACATTCTTATTTTCCCAAATGCAGAGCTTGGATTGCTGTCTGCGCTGGGTCCTAAGAACTTGGAAAAACAGTCAGGATGCACTTTCTGGTCAACACATCCAAGCTCTTCTGCCAGAGTGTATTCTGAGAGCAGCTGCATGCTTACAGGAGGCACTTTATGAGGAGGAAATTTTTCTCTTGGGTCTCATCTTGACTGAGGATCTCCCAGTCTTTAAGCAGCAAGAAGAAAGTCCTCTCACATTCTCTGGTTTGTTTCCTTCTTCTTGGTTTGCCTGTAAATAAGCCCTGATTTTCTTTCATTAACTGAATCTATAAGAGGCTTGGTTATGGTATCAGATAGTGTTCATCATTCTGTGTATAGACTTGGTTAGACTTGGGGTGAAAGCAATCCTGACATAACGTTCTATATGTATTTTAACAAACGTACCAATTTTACTTTTAAGTAGGGAATACACAGTTAATGAAATAACCATGACAGTTTAGAAGGATCATTTTCAAATGTCTCATTCCAAAGGATGAATTCTTTCATAAAGTTTTAAAGCTTTCTTAAACATAAAGCTTTAAAATTGTCTTAGTGTTGTCTAGTAACTGACAGGCTAGCTTATCAATCATAGAGTCCAAAAAAAAAAAAAAAATGTTGGGGATATTAGAAACAGAATATATTGGAACGAAGATTAGAAGAAAAACAATTTGGAATCTTAATGGTGGAAAAGAGAACAGAATTATGAGACTTCTTCCATTTTGTTTGTACGTGCAGTACTCTAAGAAACATGATGGTACATGATCTTTCTTTAGTTGCCTCGTATGAAACATTTTCTGATTCTGAAGATTCTGGAAATGTTTTCAGAATCTGCAAGTGAAGCTTCATATATTACTGCTGTATTACTTAAATATTGCTTTATCAAGGCACAATGTGAAGAATGTGATTAGCTATGTTACAGCTGTTCATGTGCTTTGCGTTTTGAAAGAATGAGTGAGGATTCTCCCCTCCCCTCAAATGCCACCAAATTTGATTGTATTCAGAGCTTAATATGATTACTGGGGTAGTTAGAAGTGAAGATGCAGGCAATAGAGATTTTGTGTACTTATTAAATATCATAAAACTATCAAATTTGATAATAAGCAATTAAGTAAGAACAAATACTGGGGGGAATATTTATTTATTTATTTATTTTCAAACAACAGGAATTCTTAGATTTATTTTCAGATTGTTGAAAGGCAGATTAAATTTGGTCTTTCTCACCTCTCATCAGTGATTTTATTCCACTTACAGAATATGCCTGGTAAACTAGACCTAATTAATACCATAGTTTTTCGAAAACTGAACTAAAATGATTTTTTCCAGCTTTTTGAAGTAACTTGCTTCTGTATTATATTAGCTTGTGATGACTGCAGTTTGTAGGAGATTTTATTACTGTCTTTGCTCATAAAAATCAAATGGTTTTATTTAGAAGTAATGGGAAATGTTATAGTTTGATTATCAACACAAGCTATGAAGTCACTTGAAAGAAGTCATCATTACTTTATTTGGGAGGGAGAAAAGGACTTTCATCTTAAATATTAATCTTTAAACCAAAATTCTTATTTTACTCCCTTTTGTAATATTAACTGCTAATGTTATCATTTGTGTGTAACAAGGAAGATTGTGTAGGATACTTATGGAGTGATGAACATTATATTTTTCTATGTGTTGTGGTTCTTTCAACCTTAAAATCTTGATACCTAAAAGCGTGATGAAGATAGGTTTAAGAATCTGATAACTAATATGTGTAGATAGGAGGAAAGAAGGAAAGAGAGAAACAGAGTGCATCTTATTTACTTGGGAAGAAATTATAAGATTATTAGAAAAATGTTTTTGTATGCAAACCTTTTCCTTGAATTAAGTTTTCCCTCCTTTTAGGTACTTTCAGAGCCTCAAACAAATCAATATTATTCTCAGTTGGGTTGCATCTTGCTGAGTAGCATGGGTGTTCAGAATAGAAATGAGATGCTAATGTAACTGTATGCAAGACTGAGTTCTTTATACTTGTATTATATACTCTTTTGCATTAAGAACGGATTCTGAAGTTTGAGTGAAGCATCTTGTTGAACTGTTCTTTATTGTGGACTGTTCTATATTGTGGGTGAACTACCTTGGGCTTAGGTTCTACAGGGCAACAGTTATCTACAATACAAGATTAAATACAAAATTACCCAAAACTTCCCTTGTTTGCACATACACAGACTGACTTTCTGGCCCAGTTCGTCTTTCTTAAACTGTTTCTTCACAGCAGAATATCTTAAAGAAGAATAACTAAGAATTTCCCTTCCATCATGCCTAGGACTGCTCTCCAGGTTGCTAGAATTTGTCATTTGATTTTTCCCATGGGGCAAAATTCTTTTTGTGATGTGCAGAGATATACTGCAATAGCTTATCCATTTCTCATGATGCCCAGAAGAAAAAGTGTTTGTGCTCATATTTTATTTGACGTGATTTTGTGAGGTGATGACAGGCCAGTTTCATGTTTCCCTTTCAGAACATGCCTGAGGAGCAAGGCATAGCCATGAAGTAGGCCTAGGTACAGTTTTGCCCAGATAGAGTACTGCTTTTGTATGCAAAAATAAAGTGGCTGCTAAAGAGTTTTTAATTTAAAACTAGAGAAACAAAAAAGCATCTCTGGTGTTTGAGCGCTTCCTTGATTAAGCAGCTTTGTGTGTGTAGGGGAGAGGGTTTTTGATTAGCAATATCTTAACTATAAGGTCTTAGTTTCTGTGGGCTTGTAAGGAACCTGACTCTTCTGTGCCCCATGTACTTGCAATCCCTGTTGAGTTTTGGGGGAGTCACGTATGGTGAAAAAAATCTTAGCTTGGATGAAAATCAGATACCTTAAATCTATTTTAGATTAGGCTGGTTGTAGCTTTGACCTTTGCAGTTTGTCAAAATGTACTTTGCTTTGAATTGTATTTTTGGAAAGCAGGCCGTCAGCCTCAGATCTGTAGTGTCACAAGCAGAACGTGGTAGGAACTGTGAGAATGCTCTGTCTCGATGGAGACACTAGTTAGCATAATAAGTGCTTGTTTCATATAAAGTTTAAACTCTAGAGATGAATATGGTCAGCCTATTTGTCTGAGTTTACTTTCTTTAAAGACTTCAGAATTCAACAGAATGTCAGAAAGTTGAATCATTACTAAGTAGAGGACAACAGTAGAAGCTATCCTGAAAGGTTGAGTACATCAGAAAGATGAAACCTAAAGTTCTGTTCTTGCTTATTTCTGTGTTGTCAGCAAATTCCTGAAAGGCTCCACAGGCTTTAACTAATTGATCTCCTTTAGTGGGTGACAACTTGCTGCTGCAATCAAGTACTTGAGTCATGCTCATTTTGTTCTGTTGACATTATATACTTTCATGGAGATATGAGGCAGATTTCAGTTTTAAGTAGGCAGTGGTTCAAGATCCCCGATAAGTCAAACTCTCCCTGCCTCAAATCACTCCACATCATTAAAGTTCAGAATTCAGGTTTTGGAATTAAATCACCTGAATTTGTCCCATTGGTGCATATACGTTATTAGTCAGCTTATGAATCCATCTAAAACAGTGGAACTTGAGTTCGCCATGTTCTGGCTCAGTAAGTGTTGAATGGAGTGTTGAATGCCTGTGCATTAACATTTAAGGGTCTGATATAGAGACAGCAAAAATCCTTAATTAAGCCAATAATTCTGTTTGTGAGCTCTGGAATTTGGAGTTTAATTAGTATGCTGTAAGTAAATTATAGGATCATACACTTCAAAGCTTGATGAAGAATAGAATTAATGTAAGTGTTTTTGTTTTCTGTATGAGGCAAGACAGAAAAGAGTTGCATAGGCAACTTCTGGCTTTTCTCAACTTCTGAGTTCTTGAACTTTGAGCCCTGATGAAATTTTTTAATATGTTTCCTATGTAAACAACTCAGAAAAAGGGTATAAAACCATGTTTCACATTATACTGTTGTTTAAGAGGAAAAGTAAATGATTAGAAGTTGTTTCAGAAGTTGTCTTTGATAGTTTTAGTGATTATTTTACAAGCTGGGGGAAAGTAAAATTGCTAGTGGAACTAGCAGATTTCAGAAGTAAAACCTCAAAATTCGAACCAATGTTATACAGAAAATGTTTTCAATTTTTAATATTCTTTCTTGTGATTTCTCATTATAGTGGTACAGTGTTGCATAAACCATTCTTGTTTTGTCTGTTACTCAGAAATAAAAACTACATCACAATAGCAAATCACTTTTGCTTCTAATTAACATATGTGATATCTTGATATTTTGAGTTAAATATTTTTTTGTGTTATAGTGAAAGAGTTTTGTGAAACGCATGGCTCTGTGAGGACTGGGACTATTTAATCTGAGCTTCCTCCCTTGTTCTGTACAAACTTTCGAACTCCAGAGGAAGTTTTTCCTGTATTTAGCGATGTCCATGCCTTGGATTTTATTTTTCTAAGAATAGATGAATTTTTGCAATGGCTGCTGTCTCAGTTCAGATGCCCTTTACGTGCTGTATTGATTAAAACTTTGGCAGTCCTGAAGGGGATGTGATGCGTATGAACAGAAAGAGCCTTGCTTGCTGAAGCTTTGTTTCTACAGAAAGTAAGACAAAACCCAACTGTATTGAATTTATTGAAAATAACCTCTGAAGAACTGAGTAGGGAACTCGGTTTCTTGAGTAGGACCTGTAGTCTGCATAAGTTACTATAAAACAGTGCTTTATCAAGTTTTTATTTTTTCAAGGATTGGGAAATCCAGGCTTGTCTAGAAGTACTTTTTATTTAAATTCAGCTGATGCATTTTCATCTCAGGTACTTCATGTTTCACTTAATGTGATTCAGGCTTAGACTGAATGGTAACATATACTGTATTATACATGTTGTGTTTCTATTAATGATGTGCATTTGTAGCAAAACAATTGGTTTTTATTTTGGAAAAAAGTGTTTAATCAATGAATGAAAAAATACATGAATTTCACACACAGAAATGAGATTTCTTTCACTTCACACAGATGAGGAATATATAGAATAGAGCTGTTTCCATATATAGAAACTGAATTCTGTGTTGTTTTAGAATTTTCCACTGAGAAAGTAAGGGAAACAACAGATTTAATGCGCTTAAAAATTAAAGGGACAGATGTAGGAGTCTGTGCAAGTCTGAAATTTATTAAGTCTTTAAGATGTGTGGAAAATTAATGCTTTTATATGAGGCAAGTATTTATGCTGTACTGAGATTAAACTTTTTTTAT